ATAATAATAATAATAACTTTATTTATATAGCACCTTTTAAAAACACAGGTTTACAAAGTGCTTTGACAAACAGCAAGAACAAAGCAAACTAAACCAAACACAGAAAAACATTAACAACAGTAAGAATATAACAGATGCAAAATACCAAAAATAATTAAATACAATTCAACAGAAAAGAACCCAAAGTGCACGATACACACCCAGACATATATAACCCAACCATCATAAGAACCATCATAAGAACCATCATAAGAACCCAGGAACACAAGAACCCAACAACACGAGCTGAGACCAAGAGGACCAAAGATTTAAAAAGATGTAAGAAACTAAGAGATAAAAGCAAATAAAAAGCAATGAGAAGTTAAGCGTAGTAAAAGAAATAAAAACAAGTGGTTAAAGGATCAAAAAACCCAAAACTATAATATTAATAAAAATAAAAATTAACTATAAATACAAAACATAAATAGACAAAGTAAGTAAGATAAGAAATTACCAAGTTAAAACACAAGAGGAGATTAAGATATGAGCATAAATACGAGATAAGACCATAAATAAAAGACAGTAAGAAGTAGAAGAAGATAAAAATAGTAAAACCAGTAAGAGAAGACATTAAGAAGACGACATCACATAAAAGCAAGTCTGTAAAAGTATGTTTTAAGAAGGGATTTAAAAGAATTGAGGGAATCTGCAAGTCTTATCTCCTCAGGGAGGTCGTTCCAAAGTCGAGGGGCCCTGACTGAAAAGGCCCGGTCACCTTTAGTTTTAAGTCTGGACTTTGGAACGACCAGGAGGGCCCCACCCGAGGATCTAAGACTGCGGGCTGGTGTCAGTAACTCTGTTATATAGCTTGGAGCCAGCCCCGTCCGTGCTTTAAAAGTAATGAGTAAAATCTTAAAATCGATTCTAAAACGTACAGGAAGCCAGTGTAATGAAGCTAAAATTGGAGTGATGTGATGTCGTCTGTTACAACCAGTAAGAAGCCTAGCTGCTGCATTTTGGACCAGCTGGAGGCGAGACAGTGACTTATTTGTGATTCCGGAAAAGAGGGAGTTACAGTAGTCAAGTCGGGAGAAGATGAGGGCGTGGATGATCTTTTCAAGGTCTCGTTGGGTTAGGATTGTTTTAATTTTGGAGATGGTGCGTAGATGGAAGAAGCTTGATCGGACAACTGTTTTGATATGGGATTCAAAGGTGAGATTGCAATCGAATGTTATTCCTAGATTTCTGGCGGTGGGTTGGACATTGGTGAATAAGGGACCGAGGCTGCTCTTTGAGATATGAGTGGTGTTTGGCGGGTTGAATACTATGATTTCAGATTTAGAATTGTTCAGTTGGAGAAAGTTTTGCGCCATCCAGCATTTGATATCGTTTAGGCAGTTTCTGACAGCAGCTAGGCTCCTAGGGTCCTCAGGTCTCAAAGGAAGGTATATCTGTGTGTCGTCTGCGTAGCAGTGAAAGGAGACATTGTGGCGTTCAATTATTTGGCCAAGAGGCAGCATATAAATGGAGAATAACGATAGTGACGATAGTGATATATAGTAGTGACGATAGTGATATATTTTACCAAACTTACTTTTTTTTTTTTAATGCATATAGTTAAACAATGTGATAATAATGACAAAGTAGCTGGCCCTTGTGATTAGATATGTTACCTTGCATGTCTGCTAAGCACGCCAACGTGGTTAAGCTAGGTACCGGCGGATGGGGAGGGGGGAAGGGGGGGGGAAGTAAAAAAAAACACGCTTCTCTCACACAATGACTCCAAATCCCAGAAAATGACATTCCATCATTGTTTGACACTAGCTTTGTGAAATGGTAGACAGCTAAGGTAAAGCCACATTGTTCTAATGATTTGTTTCTTTCTGTAGATTTTTTTTTTCACATACTGGAGTATAAACAAGCCAAGATGAAGCTGCTGTGGGTTGTAATGTTGGTGGCCGGCACCGTGTTCGCCGACGACGACGACAAGAAGGACAGCGTGGGGACTGTGGTTGGAATCGACCTCGGGACCACCTACTCATGGTAAATAGAGACAAAGTGACAGCTGTCTTGATTGTTTTACACGCAACTTTTAAATGTGGATAACACTAATCATTTCTTAATTGTTTTTTTTTTTTTTCCTTTTTAGTGTCGGAGTGTTCAAGAATGGGCGTGTGGAGATCATCGCCAATGACCAGGGTAACCGCATCACTCCATCGTACGTGGCCTTCACCAGCGAGGGTGAGCGTCTGATTGGCGACGCTGCCAAGAACCAGCTGACGTCTAACCCTGAGAACACCGTCTTCGATGCCAAGAGGTTGATTGGGCACACTTGGGGAGACTCGACTTTGCAGCAGGACATCAAGTACCTGCCGTTCAAAGTAAGTTTCCGCACTTCTTGACGTTACTGTTAAGAGTCTTAAGGTCCTTTTTTGGTATCGTTTGAGCTTCATTCTCTGTTTGTAACATTGATTCATGTTCCTTTTTAGGTAACTGAGAAGAAGAGCAAGCCCCATATTCAGGTAGACATTGGTGGTGGCACGATGAAGACATTTGCTCCTGAGGAGATCTCTGCCATGGTGCTGACTAAAATGAAGGAGACTGCTGAGGCTTATTTGGGCAAGAAGGTACAAACACATGAAAAAAATACATTTAAAATATGTACCTCATCAAAATGATGTTCAATCAAAGCTAATGAGTTTATCCTTTTTGTCAGGTTACACATGCTGTGGTCACTGTCTCTGCCTATTTCAATGACGCCCAGCGTCAGGCCACTAAGGATGCTGCAACCATCGCTGGTCTGAATGTCATGAGAATCATCAATGAGCCGTAAGTTTTGAATGAAAATGATGTTTGTTGTTGTGTTTGCAAAATATTTCCCTTCATTTTTGTATTAACGTATCTTCCTTTTTTTTTTTTTTAGAACTGCTGCCGCCATTGCTTACGGTCTTGACAAGAGAGACGGCGAGAAGAAAATTCTCGTTTTCGATCTTGGCGGTGGCACCTTCGACGTCTCCCTGCTGACCATCTACAACGGTGTGTCTGGGGTGTTGGCAACCAGTGGTGACGCTCATCTTGGAGGTGAGGACTTCGACCAGCGCGTCATGGAGCACTTCATCAAGCTGTACAAGAAGAAGACCGGCAAAGATGTGCGCAAAGACAACAGGGCAGTGCAGAAGCTGCGTCGTGAGGTCGAGAAGGCAAAGAGGGCGCTGTCCGCTCAGCACCAGGCCCGCATTGAGATCGAGTCCTTCTTTGAGGGAGAGGACTTCTCTGAGACCCTGACCCGTGCCAAGTTTGAAGAGCTCAACATGGTAAATAATTGAACCAACATTTTGGTTATAGAAAAACTGTAACTCTAGTATAATGTTACCCTCTTGTTTATGAAACATGATTTACTAACAGTTGAACCTTTTTTCTTTCTACAGGACCTGTTCCGTTCCACCATGAAGCCTGTGCAGAAAGTACTGGAAGACTCTGGCCTGAAGAAGCCTGACATTGATGAGATTGTCTTGGTTGGAGGCTCCACCCGTATCCCCAAAATCCAGCAGCTGGTGAAGGAGTTCTTCAATGGCAAAGAGCCCTGCAGAGGCATCAACCCTGATGAGGCCGTGGCATACGGAGCTGCTGTGCAGGCTGGAGTGCTTTCTGGAGACAAGGACACTGGTAGGTTATCATCGTCTCACATCATTTAATTTAATTCTAATTCGCTGAACTAGCTTTTATATTGTGTACTAATAATGTTCCTATCTTACAGCAGATATTCTTCTTGTGGACGTGTGCCCCCTGACTCTTGGTACTGAGACTGATGGAGGAGTGATGACTAAACTGATCCCCAGGAACACTGTGGTGCCTACAAAGAAATCCCAGATCTTCTCTACAGCTTCTGATAACCAGCCCACTGTCACCATTAAGGTTTATGAAGGTAAGAATTGTGCATACCCAACATGAAGAAAAAAAAGTTTAAAAATAGCTGTTTTTTTTTTTGGTATGCAGAAAAAAAAAATGGAATTTTGCAAAAGTTTATTCATTGATTCTGTCTCTAGGTGAGCATCCTCTCACAAAAGACAACCATCTGCTGGGCACATTCGATCTGACTGGCATCCCTCCCGCCCCTCGTGGTGTGCCACAGATTGAGGTCACCATCGAGATCGATGTCAACGGTATCCGGCGTGTCACAGCCAAGGACAAAAATGCAGGCAACAAGAACAAGATCACCATCACAAACGACCAGAACCACCTGACGCCAGAGGACATCGAGCGCATGGTGAACGATGCAGAGCGCTTCGCCGATGACGACAAGAAGCTGAAGGAGAGGATCGAAGCCCGCAATGAGCTGGAGAGCTACGCTTACTCTCTGAAGAACCAGATCGGAGACAAGGAAAAGCTCGGCGGAAAGCTGTCGGATGAGGACAAAGAAATCATTGAGAAGGCAGTAGAGGAGAAGATTGAGTGGATGGAGTCACACCTGGAGGCTGAGCTGGAAGACTTCCAGGCTAAGAAGAAGGAGCTTGAGGAAGTGGTACAACCAATTATCAGCAAGCTTTACGGCAGTGCAGGAGGACCACCACCAGAGGGCGCAGAAGCCGAGCAAGACGAGAAGGATGAGTTGTAGGCAAGTTTGCCATCAACTGTTTTGTCGCCCCTTTCCTCTCTGTTAGTGGCACTTAGATGTACATAATGAACTGATGAGACTCAAATCGTGAGAGGAACGGTTGGGAAGGGGTGGCCATAACAAGCAACCCTACTAAATCCTCTGAAAGACTTTAAAAAAAAAACAAGTTTCAGTGTGTGAGAGGTGTTCTCTTCGCTGGAAGGCGGAGATATTCGTCAGCCTGGATATGAGGCTTGCTGCTGCTGTTCTCAGGCAGTCCTGTTGGGGTGATGTTGTGGGGAGGGACTTAGTGGGTGGGTTGGGGCAGGTGTTAGGGGGCAAGAGCTCCAAACTTGGAAACCCGCCATTTCAGTATTCATAGAATTAAAAAATGTATCTTGGGTTTGTTGATTTAATCAAGACAGAAGAGTTCTTAAAAACGATTTATTTAAACTTTAGTGAGTATTACATCATCATGAAACCACAGTCACAACACAGTCATTATGAATGACACCCTGGGTATCCATCCCTCCAAATACAAAGGCCAAATGTATTGTCTCTGAGGCTGTTGGGCAGTCGGCCTGCTCCTTATCTCCATTCCCCTCAGCATGCACCGTCCAGGGCAATAAACACATGGAGTGGTCCAGGCGGTTGGGGGGCATATCCCCTTCAAACTTCATAAGGACCCATCTGCTTTTGTCTGCAAACATAATGGATAACAATGGAGGTTTAAACTTCTCAACCACAGTTTTAAATGTAATACAACTTTCTGTGTATGATGTGATAAGGTACAAATATTCAATGACAAGATTAATGAAAATTCTATTACCAGTGTTGAATCTATACATGGAGTTGGTCGCTCCTTCTGCTGTCATTCCCCCAAAGATATAGATGTTCTTTCCCAAAGCCACAGCTGAGTGGGCTGCTACTCCTGGTGGGATATCTCCTTTGACTTGCACCTTCTCCCACTTCATGATCTCTTTGAACAGTAGACACTTTGTTTTATTTTTTTAATCAAACAAACATGACATTCCCAAGTTTTGAGGCTCTTTATTTTAATCTTGTATTATCATTTAGAAAACTTTGAAAATAGATTTTATTTTTTTAAATCACACACAAAACGTATTACACTTCAGGAGTGATCAGTCTTACTTGTATCGAGAGAGAACACGTCATTGTGGAATTTGTCCCCGGCCATGCCCCCATGGATGTAGATCTTTGAACCTGCTGCTACGATAACATGGCCATGTTTGGCTGACGGCTGTCTGCCTTGTGTTTCCGGTTGGGACCAGGAGGAAGAGGCTGGGGGGTAATTAAGATAAAAGTGATCTCATATTCCCGTATTGCTGTCTGTGTCATAAAACAGACTGAAATGAAAAGGGATGTCCTTATATGACCTACAAAAGCAAACAACTCTGATTGTTTCTATACTTTGTCTTTTGAACGCCTGTAACTATTGCAGCGGGGTAGGTGTACCAGGTGATTTACAGCTCGCTGCAAAGGAATTTCCATGGAAAATATTCACAATCAGTGATACGTTTGACTGTTTGAAGAAAGTAGCATGAGATTTTTTGTTAAAAACCATTTTTATACATGTACAGGAAAAAATCAGCAGTGAAATAAGATGTACTGTTTTGTCCACAGAGAGCGCCAAAATTGACATAAACCGAAATTACTAACAGGATCTTTCACAAACAAATAAAAAAAAAGAAAAATTGAGAATTGAAATAGAAACCAAACATCAAGTTAAATGGAAAGACGCTGTATGTCCAGCATTATTCAACAAACAAAAAAATGACGCCTGATTGTGTGGCAGAATTGTGTCAGAGTTCCTTGTAACACAATATACCAAGAAGAAATAATGACTGGGAGTTGGAAACGCAAGAATATACAACATGTTCATAAGCTTTGCATGTGATACAAAGTTTCACCAGTGCTTTCCAACAGGTGAAACATTTCTATCATTGTGGAATCAGTGGCTAATACCACTGTAAAGCTCTGTATGATACACCTACTGTATGTTGAGCAGCTGGTTAATTAAACACAAACCTGTATCAAAGACGTGAAGTGTGGGGTCTGCGACAGGTGCAGCTCCTGCTTCCCCACCCGAAAAGACGTACAGTCTGTCCCCGAGGCAGGCGGAGCTGGTGTGGTATGTTCTCGGGCTGGGGGGTTTACCATTCACAGATACACTCTTCCAGGAAGACCCACTGTCTGGTCACACAGGAATAATTGTTCATGTACAATAATATTAGTCTGTCTGTTCAGAAATGGGAACATCACTGGTTAAAAAAGAATTAAAAACAAAAATTACATTAATAGAGTTATTTATATACCTGAAAGATTACAAACATGTCTGAAGGAGGGCAGAGAGACTTTAGTTTTTCACTACATCAGATAATTCCAAAGTAACATACACAGTATATTAGCACCTCTTCTTCATGTGAATTGGAATTAGTCAGGGAAACCATCTGAAAATAAGAGAGTACTGGATTCATTTGAATTGGGATTTACCTGTTAGCTGTACATTCTGGATACAATTGCGGTTGCCGCTCTGCTGTGCCCCTCCAAACACCCACAGGCTCTGAGGACAGCTTTCTGGGACAAAGCAGCAGTGTTCATACCGCGAGTCCAAACCCTCCCACTCTGGGATGTCCCACTCATGATTATCTGGGGGAGTCAGAGAGAGGAAAAATACCCCAAAAAATGTCTAACAATATAGAAGACATGGGAACACAGATGACACTTCAAAGTAAACAACAATGATAAACACCTTTTAGCAATATGGTTTTTCACAATCAAAGTCAGTCAAAATTTTTGAAATTGCTTGTAACTGCAGACATAATATCTCTGCACAGTCTCTTTCAATTACCTAGATCAGTGGTTCTCAAACTATGGTATGGGCTCCCTGTGGTGGTACGCAAAGAAATCTCCACAATATAAAAAACAAACCCGATCAGCATAAAACCACAATTTTTGTATCTTGTATCTATTGGGTTGTATTTATATCAAATGTGTTTTCCCCTCTAAATTAATCTAGTTTTTGCAACAAACAACTTTAATCTGCTCAATTTATGCTCACGCACACACATAAACAACAACAGGAGTACGCCTCGCGTTTTGAAAAGTTCCACTCGATATTCCGTTATAGTTCAGTACTGAAACAACAGCAAACAGCTGTAGGCCTACATTAACAGATATATTAACAGATATATTATATTCTGTGAATGTAGGCCTACATTAACAGATATATTAACAGATATATTATATTCTGTGAATGAAGGCCTACATTAACAGATATATTAACAGATATATTAACAGATATATTATATTCTGTGAATGTAGGCCTACATTAACAGATATATTAACAGATATATTATATTTTGTGAATGTAGGCCTATATTAACAGATATATTAACAGATATATTATATTCTGTGAATGAAGGCCTACATTAACAGATATATGAACAGATATATTATATTCTGTGAATGTAGGCCTACATTAACAGATATATTAACAGATATATTATATTCTGTGAATGAAGGCCTACATTAACAGATATATTAACAGATATATTATATTCTGTGAATGAAGGCCTACATTAACAGATATATGAACAGATATATTATATTCTGTGAATGAAGGCCTACATTAACAGATATATTAACAGATATATTAACAGATATATTATATTCTGTGAATGTAGGCCTACATTAACAGATATATTAACAGATATATTATATTTTGTGAATGTAGGCCTATATTAACAGATATATTAACAGATATATTATATTCTGTGAATGTAGGCCTACAGTAACAGCTATATTAACAAATATATTATATTCTGTGAATGTAGGCCTACAGTAACAGATATATTAACAGATATATTATATTCTGTGAATGTAGGCCTACAGTAACAGCTATATTAACAAATATATTATATTCTGTGAATGTAGGCCTACAGTAACAGATATATTAACAGATATATTATATTCTGTGAATGAAGGCCTACATTAACAGATATATTAATAGATATATTATATTCTGTGAATGTAGGCCTACAGTAATAGATTAATGTATGTATTTCCAAACAGGTTGTTGGTCTAAAGTTGTCATTTTTATTTTTCTGCACTTTTGTGTGTGCAAGTTCTAGCGCTAACCATTAGTAGGCCTACAGTGTGCCTGCCAGCAGACAATAATAAATAATATTCTTTTTTTTATGAATTAATTTGCCTCTTGCATTAAAAATACGTGTTGAAATCGGCCTACAGTGTATTTCAACGTCTACCGTAATGGTGGTACTTGGAGAGGTGGTACGCAGTCTAAAAAGTTTGAGAACCACTGACCTAGATTTATGATGTTGCAATGTGTGAAACTGCCGCTTGGGTTTGCTCCTCCAACAATAAGGATGCTTCCCTTTCCCTCATCTGCAGGTGGAATGAACGTGCAGGTGTGACCCACACTGACACCTGGAGCACTTCCTCTGGGCATCAAAGAATACCTGTTGAACAGACAGTAAAAGTTAACACAAAGACAAACAGTGACATTTACATCAAGATGCTCTTAGATACATTCACTTACCATATTCCTGCTTTGGGTTTATCTAGGGGGTCAAGTACAGGGAGAAACTCCATGGCTGTCAAGGATGAATGAATGGACCATGTGTTGTTGTTCCTTTTGATGCTCCCTGCTGTCATCAACCAAGCACATACAATTTACAAACCATAGATTGTAAATAATAAGGTTACTAAGTGACAAACCTTTAACCTTGGTCTACATTATTGTAGATATAATATTGTCATTACCACCACATATACAGAAGCCCTTACATGACATCTCTATAATCCACATATTAAGGAGCTTCTATAGACATTTTATGCACACGGTTTCGCACAAGGGTGGCTTGTAAGATCCAGTTAGTAACATCTGTAAAATAAACCTTCATGCATGTGTCACGCTGATGAGTTGTGAACACACAGTGCGGTTATCAAGCTGCTACGTGCTAACTCGAATGAGCGTCTTTGAAGAGCTTCCTACACACTGACCTGTTCTTCCGGGTGAAAAAGAGACTTCTTTACTCGTGTCTTATAAATACGAAACGTTGCTCGGTTGCAGCGTTGTCTTACGTCCGTTCAGTAACAGCAGTGACAGCGAAGTGAACTGTACGTAAATTGTTTTGTTTGTGTACGTTCTAAACGTAGTTGCTGTAGTTCTCACAGCGCATGCGCAGTTCAATTCGCTCGCTTGGCCATCCCAGAGCCTTATAATGTCGCGACTAACTTCAACCCAAATCCCGATGTTATTATCAGTGAAACATAATGTTTATCAGTGAGTCTCTCACGGAAGTGTATTTCCTGCCCATAAGACTCAAAACAGCGTCTTCCTCTTGAATGTAAGTGAGAAGAGAGGTAGGCTGTGGAGGGGGGGGGCATCATCAGACCCCTTCACAGGTGAAGTTAATTATCGTCTTTTCAGTTAAAAAAGTTTAAAGTTGAATAAGCCCACTCGAAATAGTGAAAAGCAATTCCGTCTGTCTGACTTTATGTCACATATTTTAAGGATTCAAGCTCTATTTTTGACAAAAAAAATAATATATTTGCTGCTAAATAAAGTTTTTAAGCCTTTTGAAATTAGCTCGAACCTTTTCTTATCTCTGTTAGGCCAGCTTTTACTTAACATCATCTAATATTTATCTATAACAGTTATAATAAAACAATTTGATTTGTCTTAGGCGAGGAAAAACATTGTAGTTTCTGGCTGCCGTATTTGTTCGGTGTAGTATACATTTGGATGGGCCTAGTGAAACACATGGAAAAAAAAAACATATATTTTCTAATTTCATATAAATAAGAGAAAACACATTAAAATGAAACGAGTTGCCCAAATTCTACCCAATGCAATTTTCCCCATGTTTATGATCCTGCTGGGTGCAGGCAGGATAGCTTGAAGGTCACATTATATGCAAAATGCATTTTACCAAGTTTTTCTAACACTAATGTTTTGGGGAGAAAAAAAAGAAGAATATTTCACACTGATGACATCATCTATTATCAATGTCTGATGAATTGTGTGAACCTAAATGTCTGTATTTTGTGACTGTATGGGGGGCAGAGCTGGACTTGAGTCTGTCAGAGATAGAGCCGGGCCATGCCTCTGCAGCGGTATCTGCCCAGTTTCCCCTTCAGGTGAAGCAGAGTATGACTTTCAGAGAACTCCTTTGTTTTCCGTGACATATTGAAGATGTCAAGTTTCATGTGACTTTTCTATTTACAGGGCCTTTCACTATACATGGGTTGTTGCACCGTCATGCATTTGTAATATATACTATAGAGTGATTTTTGTTTTAGTGCAGATAGATATAGTCATGCATGGGTTTGCTGTACTATTTTTTTTTTTTTTTTTAGCAAATGTACAAAAAATTAGAACATAACTGCAGGATAGGATTAGAAAGTCGAATAGCGACCTCTTGTGGTTACATTAAGTTGATGCAGGCACTCTCCAGTAAAGCATGTTATCTTTAACACTATATTAAGTAACATGGGATAAATTTTTGACCAGTTCTAAAGTGACCCTCAAATTAAGAATATATCATATAGTTATACAATTTTCAATGCTATTTTCAAATACGTCACTATTTACATTTTTTTGGACACCATAATATATTTCATATGCAGCTGTAAGACATAGTTAAAGTGCTATATATTATTGCATTAAGTGTGGGGACTAACAATTTGAGTTTTACCTTCTAAGTGCAGTATTTGATCATCAATAGATTCTGTAATACTACATGACATGTCCAGTAGGTGGTGCCATTGTTTTTTCTTCAAAAAGATCGAGATGTTTGGACTGCCTGGATGTTTTTTTTTATTAATATTTTTTATGTGTTCGTGTCTACAGACAATTACGTTTATATTCAGAGGTTAAAAAAATACATAACGTTTTGACTGATCACTTCTAAAGAGAGTGTAATCTGCTCAAAATGCATAACAAAGGCATACTGTTTAAAACAAGTATTTTCTTGGGCCTTTAATATTATTCCTTTAAATTACTGCATTCAAAAAAAGAGAGAAAAGAACAAAGAAACTTTTTGGCAGGAAAAGACAGCCCCAGTGAATGTGAAGTTGTACCCACAATCAGATATAAAGTAAATGGACTATAATGGATGATAAGGATGTAATCTCTAATTGAAATATACATTGACAAAGTAACTGACTGCTATAAATGTAAAGCTTCCTGTACAGTCAGCAGTCCTGCAGATACGATGGTAGCTGAGTGAACAAATCTGCATCAGTTCAGTCTACTGTAGACACTATCACACCTTCTTTCTCAACCAATAAAGGGAAAAAAAGGTGAATGAGCAAAGAAGGTATTCAAGATCAGGTAGGCATTATTAGTCCTCTGAGTGAAAAAAAAAAACTAGAAATAACTGAGCGAGGACAAGTAATCACTATTCACTATGCCCCCTTTCTTTCACTGAAGGAAAAGGACAAAGATTTTCTAAAAGCTGCTTCTGGCAACTGTTGAATGACAGAAAGATAATTTGTGCTTCTGAGCAAGATACATCTTTAAGGCTACTTATAATTGCTCTTTCTTTCTTTCCAACTGTGGCACATTTTGTGTTGTCATGTTTGTGGTGCAGTTTGAAAAGATGAGATGCCCATCTCTCAGATACAATCCATTTCTCCATGGACGGCGCATTGATTTTAATTCAATATGACGATGCATAAGCACTCACACAGCTGCTGTCTCAAGCAGATAAAAGAAAATTTGACACATGTTTTGACCAGGCTTTATTGTCAACCACTGTCTGCTCAGTTTGATTCTGCTTTACATGCTGCAGATAGTGTTGAGGGTATAGTATAAGGTCATCACTTGCTTACAGATATGCAATGTGATGTCCCCTTTTCAAAAGCACTTTGGCATTTCTTCACCCTAAATAAGTTCTGTAAAGACAGTATATCAGTAATCGCACATGTTGAAAAACATAGACGCTGATACTGATAGGTCAACATGATTGGCCTACACTTGTGTAGCTCTGGCTTTAAGTGAGTCTGAATAATGTTCAGAGACTTGCTTTAGCTAAATGTTCTTCTCATCCCTAAATAATAACTTCAAAGTGTGTTTTATAGCAAAGCAAATTGTTTTGCATCTAGCATTTTTGTGTCTCACATGCTGATGTCTTTTAACCTTAAGTTGTTTTATTAGCAGATTTGTGTCACTTAATTGATTCGGCTGCCATGCGCTCTAATAAGCTAGATGCTCATCCGTCCCCTGTGGCAATCTGGACATCTCTGCACAAAGTCGCCCCTCTTCTCCTCCCACAGTTAAACCCCAGTCAAAACTGCACAGTCATGCCCAATCTTGGAGCACAAATTGAAAAATGCATCATCTTGGAGGAGCATGTTCGGCTCACTTGTCCTTATCGCTGCTATCTTAATTAACTATCCCTCGCCTCTACCTTCCTTTTACAGTTGCATCTGATGTTGCCCCTTCCTAACACTTCCTACCTTGCACCAACTGTTTATGTCTTTTTGTTGCACTTCCTTCTCATGGCTGAACCTACTGGGGACATAGGAAAGTCTTCTGTATACAGTATGTCTTCAGGAAACTTGAATTTTGGTTTAAAGAAATGGTCCTCCGCAATATTGGCCGCCCAGACGCAAATCTTGCTTGTGGCTAGTCCTCAGCATGCCTTTGGCCAATTCTGGGGAACCAAAAAAAAACATTTTTATCACAATTTTCAACTTTGTGTTTACAGTTTACATCCTTTTTACATGATGATTAAGAACTCTACGTTTTAAATTTAGAAGCGAACGTAATTCTCATGGAAGTTGACATGGTAACATCATTAATCTGTGCCTTACTTAAGGATAGAAACAAAACAAGTAAATCGAGCCTCATTTTGAACAGAATGTGAAATATGAAAAGATTATCAACACAAAGGGTAGAGATAACTTCCCCCATCAATCTAAAGCCTTGTAGTGCAACACAGTAAAAACCTAAGCAGATTTCATGTATGTTTTATTGCCAAATAGTGTATAAAGATGCTGCTGCGACTCCTTTAAACTTTTTAAAATAAGGAAATAAATATACCTTTAGAAACAGTTTTTTACTAAACAGATTTCTTCTCTTTTCTAATTTCAAATAAATAAGAGAAAACACATTAAAATGAAACGAGTTGCCCAAATTCTACCCAATGCAATTTTCCCCATGTTTATGATCCTGCTGGGTGCAGGCAGGATAGCTTGAAGGTCACATTATATGCAAAATGCATTTTACCAAGTTTTTCTAACACTAATGTTTTGGGGAGAAAAAAAAAAAAGAATATTTCACACTGATGACATCATCTATTATCAATGTCTGATGAATTGTGTGAACCTAAATGTCTGTATTTTGTGACTATATGGGGGACAGAGCTGGACTTGAGTCTGTCAGAGATAGAGCCGGGCCATGCCTCTGCAGCGGTATCTGCACAGTTTCCCCTTCAGGGAAGCAGAGTATGACTTTCAGAGAACTCCTTTGTTTTCCCTTCACTGTTTTTGATAAGCATCAAATGAATCGGGGGCTTTTTGTGGAGGGACAGAATGAGAGGAAAAAGGAAAAAAAGATTCTGTCTTTTTAAGTCCTGAGGAAGAGACAAGAAGAAGGAGAAAGAGATAATAGGAGCTATAGTTTGGAGTTGTGTTATTCTTGTGAGCATTTTGCGTGTACAGTACTTGCTTTTGTGAATTTTGGCTCTGTGTGTTGTGGAAATCAGATCTTTTTCATCTACGTTTAAATAAAGCTTGATTTGAGTGCGTGCTTGGTGGGCAGGCAGTTTTGTAATCAGGCTTAGCGGCGAAGTTCATCTGTGGGTTACTGGTACACTGCCACTGGGCAAGATGTCAAAACAATGTGCTGCAGTTATCAGTGTTGTGTCACATTTAACCCAGAGGTGTGTTAAGTCATGCTGAAAAGTAATCTGGATTATTGCCACAAAACCAAAACACTGGCTTAGTTCCATCAATTCTACAACTCAAAGTCACTGATAACTTAATCTGTGATTTCAAACCGTGTTGTTGTTTTTTGTCTTTTATCTTGTTGTTCGCTCTGGAGGCAGACTTTGGAGGCAGACTCTGGAGGCAGACTTTGGAGGCAGACTTTGGAGGCAGGCTGCTTGTCTTTTCTTTGGCATTTGTACCTCGTTAGCTTCATTGAATATGACAAAAGTAAT